TAGTACACTATATAAAGCAGAAAATCTACTCGACTATAAAAGCGAGGTGGATTGAGCGGATAAATATGGTGGGCGCCTATATCACGCCTGGATATATACAAAATACAATCCTTTTCGTATGCTCTCACTTGGCTCTGCTTTTCTGGTCCCACTCTGTGATGGTGAAAACAAAGCTCTTTATTGCCGCCTAGAAAAAAATTCTTGTATAATGGTTCTGGTTACACAAAAACACTTTGTTGTCGCATCTTCCAACTATGGTTGATGCAATTGTTGAAGCTAGCACTGCCTTTCCTACTTCTCGCTACTATCAAAAACTGCCACATATCTAAGCTGCCATGAAAAGAGTAGGAAAGTTCATCGATATGTACTAAAAGCGTGTGATAATTTGTAACAAGCGTAAAGATTTGGTTTAAGTAAGAAACGCATCCAAGTGCTAATTCAGCCGCTGTACTGCTGTTACTAAAGGTTCGACATTTTTTAACAACTACGCCGGTATCAAAAGACAGCATGTTAATCCTGATTCGACGATAACTCAAACGAGGTTAAACAAATGGTACCTTCGTGGCTGGGATGAAAGTTATTGATTAGCCCAAAGTGATAACAAATCTTACCTCGAATCCACAGTGGGATCCAAGAGGAAGCAATTCTTAAGCACTCCTGAGACTATACTGGCGAATTTCCTGCGAAGTGAAAGGAACTCGTCCGAAAGAACAGCACCAGGCACGATGTTCATCTTCGCTAGCATTAAACCCAGTTCTTGGAAAACTATTTTTACTTTTTAGCGGATTTGTTGGATAGCCTCACCATGCTTCAGATGATCTCCATTATTGGTTGGCACAGATTCACAGAAAACATCGAGAAATGCTGCGAAAAGCACCCGTAAGATTTGATTGTGCATGAGAGCGTCACCTTCACCGAGTGCTCGGGCAGTAACAAGGGCACTGCTACTGGCATTGTCTGAATCGACGCAACATTAGGACACGAATAGAACATTTGTATTTGTTAAAGCATCGTTCATACCACGCCGGATCCGCGGATACCCGTCCGAACTCGCCTGAATTGCCAAATTAGGGGAAAGATGTGCCTGGAGATTGATATCTTGAAAGATGCATCAGCGCGTCGTGAAACGATATCAGTCACAAGAAGTCACGATAGCACATAGTCTTCGCTTCCCTCATTTGGAAGGTTTCGGCGGAGAGATTTCAGGCAGGTTCAGGCAGGCTCGGACA